TACCCCTTTATATGTGAGTTATGGTTCAGGGCATGACAACACTCTAATATTGTTGTCCATGATTCTGGATTGGATTCTTTGAATCCCAAACTCAATCAGCTCCCATTCCCTTTCCCCCCTTTATGTGTTTTTGAGCTTTAGATTTGGGTCTGGCAGTGTCCTAATCACTGTCCAGACTCTGGTCTGACCTTCAAGGGCCTGCTCTTAATGTGTTTGACCAAGCAGGTGATCAGGGGTATGCCAGCCTACTTTGTGGCTAGGTATGACCACAACTTGTCATGGCTCCCCAATCCCCCTTTCACTTTGCACTTACTCTTAGCTATTAAGTTCTTCCCTCTCTTGCAAGCCATGCTTTGGGACCCCCTGAGCTCCCTCTGAACTTGGATGCCTGAGAGCTGTCTCTTCCACACTGCACTGTTTCTATTCTAATGGTATCTTGGGTGTAAGCAATGCCGGAAATCCCTGAGATTCCTTGGAACTTTGAAATACCCTGGGTAAGGAGAAGGCTTTGGAAATCTGGATCCCGGGGGTGGCTCAATCGCATATTATTAGACATTAAGGTTGAATTAGGCTGCTCGGATCTAGCTGTTAGCCTCTGATGTATTTTTTCTACATCTTGTAATAACTTGTATAAACTCAGGGAATATAGTAAAGCGATGTGGAAGGGGTCTTTACTTTCTTGCATCAAAAGGGTAGAAATCATGATCTTAGGACTTTATTATTTAACCATCTAGAGATCCTGCCTATAGGACCGTTTTAATCACATAGAAAGCATGTTTATAGGACTTAACACTCACTTTCTGCAATTATGCATATAGAAATCCTGCCTATAGGAGTTAATTTTCTGCAAATTTATAGGTGTCATGCCTATAGGATGTGCATACGCATGACATTAGGCAAACTTTAGGTTTAATAAACAAGCATCCGTCCACAAGTTTATTAACAAGTTCGGTAATCAATAACTTGTAGATATCATGTCCATAGGAGCTTCTTTTGAACCAAACTCGCTTAACCTGTCTAACAGCAGTAGCAATTGATTTGTCGTTTCTTATACGCCTAAGTCAGTACATGTTTTTCCAAAACGTAGTCTCTAATAAAATTTGTTTCAAATCAGTGTATACTTTTCCCTAAAATCTATTTCTTTAACTGGCATATCTTTTCTGAGACTCCTTCTTTCTAATATTCTGCCTAAACGTGTTTTCCAACTCAATTCCTGTCTTTTGAACTCGTCGTTTTAAATCAGTTCTGCAACTCACTCTTTTCTTTGGATAACTCTGCCCCTTCTGGAATTTTCAAAACTTTTCTTTTTTTTTATGTTTAACTACAATTAGGCAGTTTGTTTTCCCTTTTGAACTAGTTTCTAAATGTCTGCAGCATACCCTTTTTCTTCAAGACTCTTCTGCAGGATCATCTTCTAAAATCAGTACTTTCTTAAATGAACCCGCGACTAATTCAGTGCCTTAATCTCTGACAACTGTATCCGAGTTGCCTAATGCAGACTTTCTGTCCAAATATATGTGTTCAACCTGTCCGCTCACAGCTTGATTTTAATCTAAGACCAAATCAGTATTTGTCAAGGCATGCTAAACTATATGATTATTTGATTTATGGGGTTTATTTGAGCCTTATTTGCTTGTTTATTCTTCCCTTTATTTGATACTTGTTTTGAATGTCGAGCTAGAATTTTATCCTTTAAACTCCACAAAGGCCTCCATCCCTTTCTTTCCTTTTAGGATTAGAAGTTCTAATACCCCGGAACTGATAGGATCGGGACGGGTAGTAGCATGCGATAAGTAAACGATATCGTTCCGCGCTTTAATACCTTAACAGGGTGGGAAGGGTAGACATGGAGATGATGATTACACGATAACACTATGTGTACAATTGGGTACCATTGTTGTGCGAATGATCCATGTAATGTATAAACCTGGGACTCCCCTCTCCTTTTATTAGTTTAACAATTTTTTTTTAGAACTTTAAAAGCTGCTGCACTTTCAAATTCTGTTTCTCACACGATTTTTGGTTTGCTTGCACTAATTGCTTGACCTCTTCCCTCTACTTGCACATTTCTTTTACAACTAAACTGCTCCTTTTCTGAATTTCAGCACTTCTTTTAACCTTTTTGTGCTTCCCGTTATACTTGTTAGTTTATTCGCATTTTCACTTAAAGTCACAATTGTAGCATGACCGGGAACCACACTAGTGGATCTTCAGGGGTGCCTAACACCTTCCCCTCGAGATAATTTCAAGCCCTTACCCAAAACTCAGGTCTGCATCTCTAATTCTTCTAAAAGTGTCCTAATGCACTATAATCATTAGGTGACGACTCTCCAAACTCCAAAAAACCAATTCCCAAACGGGATAAGAGTTGTCTTCCCGAATGTCGTGAGCCCGATTCCGCAAGGAAAAGGGGGCGTCGACATGCCTTCCTCCATCCTGGATGTGAAGATGCCTGTGAAAAACTATTAGGTTCTGAAATTCCTGAAATTGACTGTAGAACATGCTGATTGTTAGGAGATAGGGCTCCAAAAGAAAAAATAGAGGGCTAACTAGGCTGGGCAAAACAGGCAGAAGTTACTTCACTAAGGTAGATATTATTGAAAACATAGTCCTTAAGATAATGAGGCTGGGAAGTGACTCTGGTGGATTTTCTGATTGGTGGAACTGAAGAACTAGGGGGATCAGAAGATGAAGGAGAATGTGAGGAAGGGAGTGTGGAAGGTGAATGAGGAATATGTAATGAATGTGAGTGAGTGATAAGAGGGTGAAGGGGAAGAAATAGATCCTGGTGAGGGAGGAGTTGTAGGATCAGGTGATGAGGTGGATGGTGATGTTATAGGAAGGGAGTAGTCTGATGTAAAGGAATGGGAAAAATAGAATCAGGAGTGGTGTTGGTTGTAGCAAAGGGATACCTATCTTTATAGAATTGCACATCCCTAGATACAATGACCTTCTTTGTATCTAGTTCTAGCACTTTGTACCTTTTCTGCCCCAAGGGATATCCTAGAAATGCACAGGCCTTAGCTCTAGGATCAAATTTGGTTCTGCCATTGGACAAGGTAGAAACATAACAAAGGCAACCAAAGTTTCTGAGAAATTTATAGGAAAGGGACTGATGAAACAGAATAGAATAAGGTGTCTTCCCATAAAGTACCTTAGAGGGTAGCCTGTTAATCAAATAAGTGGCAGTTAATAAACATTCTCCCAAATAAGCAATAGGAACTTTAGATTGAAAGAGTAAGGCTTTAGCTATTTCCAAAAGATGCCTATGTTTTCTTTCAACAACTCCATTCTGTTGAGGAGTTGATACATATGAAGTTTGATGGAGTATCCCTTGATAACTAAGAAAAGTTGCCTCTAGGGAACCTTTCCCAAGTTCAAAAGCATTGTCTGTTCTCAATTTTTGAACCTTAACTCCAAACTGCCTTTCAACCATAGTGAAAAAATTCTTCAAAACTGGAAATGCATTGCTCTTGGTACTTAGGAGGAATGTCCAAGTACCCCTGCTATAATCATCAACCACAGTAAGAAAATATTTGAAACCATTATAAGTAGGCTCCTTATAGGGGCCCCAAACATCAACATGAATTAATTCAAATGCTATTTTAGATTTGATTTGACTCAAAGGAAAAGGCAATCTAGTTTGCTTAGCTTTAGGGCAGACATCACAGAAACATTCTGAATTAGAAGGAAAAGAGATAAAACTAAATTGTTTCATTGATGAAAAGGTAAATGCCCTAATCTCTTGTGCCAGAGAGTTACATTGGAAAATGTACTTGCAGAAAGAGGAAAAGAAACTGAAATAGACTTGACATCATTTGATTTTGAAACTGAAACTACATGGTTTTGTGAACTATTCCTAACAATATTAGGCTCCAAGAGATATAGTCCCCCTTTTGCTTCACTAAAAACTTGAGGCCTCTTCATTAAAGGGGCCTGCAGGAGACATTGATTAGGTGTAAGTGTAATTATAGAGTAAAACTGTATACAAAACCTATTGACTGATAAAAGATTGTATCTAAAACTAGGCACATGAAGAACATTGTTTAAAATAAAATCAGGGGAAATAGAAACTCTTCCTGTATGAGTGACAGCTAATTGAAAGGAATTAGGAAGGTTTATATGTAGAGGAACAGGAAGAGGGGATAAAGATAAAAAGCATTTGAATCAAAACACATATGTTCTGATGCCCCTGAGTCAATAATCTAGGTAGAGGTGTTAAAGACTGAAAAACAAGATCCAGTATATTTGATAATAGTACCAGCTACAGCATTGGCATTGATCTCAGAACTGGTGCTTGCTGTTTCTGTAGTTTTAACCTGTTTGATCAACTTAACCAAATGTGAGAATTGCTCCTTAGATAGATGTTGATTAAGACCTTCACTGTATCCATTGTTTGCATCATCTACCTGGTCTCCTTTAAAAACCCCATTGCTCCTAGCTTGGAACTGGTTTCCTTTGCCATTAGTGAACTCAAAATCTTCAGGGAAACCTATGATTCTGTAACAGTCATTGATTAAGTGTCCCACCTTTTTGTAGTAAGTACATGAAGCATTTGGATTGAACTTGTTCTTCTTTCCTCTGGAAGCAGTGTTTCTTTGTCCTGAATTTGTTCCTTTTTGAATGCTGTTATTTGATCTTTGAAACTGTCCAAAGTTCCTTGGTCCTTGCTTGTTATTATTTCTCTGTTGAAAAGCATTTTGACCACTTAGGTTTGCTTGATTTCCTACCATGAAGGATGAGGATTCAGAGGAAATGAGAGGATTAGCATAGATTTCCCTCTGATTCTCATCCTGCAACACAAGTGAATAGGCATGATTGATATTGGGCAGGGGGTTCATCATTAGGATGTTTCCCCTTGCCTGTCCATAGATATCATTCAACCCCATGAGAAATTGGATGAGCCTTTTATCCTCCAGTGATTTTTCCAATTTTTGTTTGCCCTCACACACACAATTGCACAAACACTTAACATCACAGTTAAGTGAATCTAACTCATCTCACAAACGCTTGAGTTTAGTAAAATAACTTGCTATATCACTGATGCCTTGAACTAATCCTGATAGTTCCTTACGCTGGTGGTATAATTTAACACCATTTGATTGGCCAAACCTGTGTTCAAGGCTGGTCCAGAGGTCCTTGGCAGATTTGGAGTATATCACACTATCCCCAATGTCCTTGGATAGTAAGTTTAACAACCATGAGGTAACCATATCGTTGCACCTACTCCATGGCTGAAAATCTTTGGAGGTGATGATAAGAGGAGGGCAGGATCCACTGATGAATCCTAATTTGTTCTTTACTGAAAGGGCTATGAGGATAGACCTCTTCCATCCTTGAAAACCTCTCCCATTGGAGGTTGAATTAACAAGAGCCATTCCTGGTGCATCAGAAGATGAAGAAAATAGGGGTGATTTGTGTCGAAGGTGACTGTATTTCCAGCTACAGTCTGAGTTACAGATGCTTCAGGAGTTGGTGTATCACCCATGATGAAGGAAAGCTCACAGAAAATTTAGATGATTGTGAATTGAATCGAGCTTCAGAGCTTCAATGCTCTGATTCCATGATGGAATGTAAAAAAAAAACTAGAAGATGATGTATGGAATTTTCTGTGTATTTTCATTTTGGCTGAAGCTCAATATATACAAGTATATCTGTAAAGAAAATGAAAACAGAATTTGAGATTCCTATACACTTGTCTAATTGCTATTGGCTATCTAATTACTAACTAATATTCTGTACAATGTGTGTCACATGTGGGCTTATTCTAGAATCCAAGAATTAAAAAGTGCAGCTGTATTCCTTAACTAATCTGGATGGCTATGATTTAATTGATCAAGTGTATGATCAACGGTTGAGATAAGATCTTTCCTTGAGATATTTTGTGCAATTATATTACCTTTGTTTCTAGATAATTTCGAAGACTTAGTTTTTGTCGAAAAACCTAGAGACTTTCCCTTTTCTTTTCTTTCAAACGTTCCTTGCTCTTCTTCTTCTTCATTGTGAATGTTATCAGCTTTATCAATCAGCTGATTCAAATAGGTTTCTTCTTCTCTTCATAAACACAATCTAAATTCCACTATTTTAATTTTTTTATCGTAATTAAATTCAATTAATAAAATTTATGAAACATTCCAATACCGCCCCTATTTGAATAATACTATTTGTAATGCGAAGTTTTACACATCCTTTTTATAAAGTGACATTCAAAACATTTTTTGAAAGCATATCTAATTCTTTTAATAATAACAAAAGTACTTTTCAAATGAAAGAAGGAAAAGAACGAAGAAGAGAAAAAGAAGAGACAGTATTTGACACCTTTGAAGGCGTGAAAAGAAAGATATCAAAGTCATTTGGCCTTATTCGACTTTATAAATTTGAGAAACTTTAATTTGCAGGCAATTCACGTTTTGAAATTAAAGCAATACGGACAGTGAATTTTCGACCTTAATTTAGGAGACTTGAGAAACTCATTTTCATAGTTGATAATAGGTGAATTTGACTATAATCACGCACCAAATAATCACCTTCTTGTGAACTTTTAATGTGGAAAATGACAACAAAATGCTCTTATTAGTGCTTTACATGATTTGCAGGTGAAATAGGTGTAAGGAAGGCTAAGGAGCGGTTTTGGAGTCAATTATTGATGAAAAGAGGCTAATTGTTGAATTTCCAAAGTAACCCATTCAAAACAGGCCAAAATGCCCGGGTACAAGTTCCACCGCGGTTCCACCGCGACCGCGGCAGAACCGCAGTGGGAAGCAGCTGCAGAAGATTGAGATTCCGCGAGGGTGTTTGGCCGCGGTTCTACCGCGACCGCGACAGAACCGCGGCAGGCGCAGTAAACTTCAGGGACCAAAGTGACAATTACGGGATTTTTAGACCTAAACCCTATTTAAAACATTAGACTTCGCCCAAGAGAGGCATGTATTGATTTTTTAGGTTTCTTAGCAAGGAAAAACATTGTGAGAAAATACTCTAAACATCTTTCTTCTTTTCTTTTGATTTTATGATGAATTCAATCTTAGTTTATTTTTCCATAGCCATGAGTAGCTAAATTCCTTGTCTAAGGCTTTGATGGAACCTATTGGGTGATGAACTTCTTGTTTATGTGAATACAAATTGCTAGTTTAATCTTTATTTGTTCAACTTCGTGTTCGTTGTAGTTAATTGACAGGATCCTCGATTAGCTGTGCCTATTTAGTGTGCATAACTTGGAAAAGAGTGCATATTTAGGGTATTGTTGAACAACACCACTCCTAAATTATTAGAGGAATCTATAATTGCGGGTTTAAAGGCGGGACTAGAAATAACGAAGCCTTGGGTGCAATCTAAATTGAATTGTGCTAAATAAAGCAAGCTAGTGTATCTCGGGAGAGTGCAATAGTAGATTACTGTAATTACTCGGGAGAGAGTTGCGGTAAGATTAGCGTTCATGATTGATAGAGATGTGTGGGTAAATTTGTATGAGCATAAACAGAAGGGATTTCATCAATAGGGGAAATCATTGCCTTAGCCTTTTTTCATAATTGTTTACAACCCTTCTAATTTAGTTATAGCCTTTTATTTACTTGCAAGTTAGTTATTAAAGAACAATCAACTGAGAATTTGAATATTTGGGAAGCTGGTTCTGAAGACTTGGTGGGTCTGAAGGTAGCAGTTGATAGGTTAACTCTCTGTGGGATTCGACTCCGGACTTGTAAACTGGATTATATTTGCAGCGACCGCATTGTCCTTTTATACGGCATAGTTGGGCGTGATCAATAGTTAAGATGTTTCGTCAAATTTTATAGAAAGAAAAAAAAAGTGATTTTAAGCAGAAATAGAAATCGTTTTTGAGAAGCAAAAAATATAGCTTCTCTTCAAAAATAATTTTTTGAAAAAATTAAGCTTAGAAACACTTTTTACAAATTTGATCAAATATTAATTGTTGCTCAAAAGTTTTTTTAATAAATTAATCAAATATAAATTGTTTCTGGTCAAAAATACTTTTTTGAAAAATATTTTTCAAAATAAGCTAATTTTAGAATGTTTGACAAATAGACAGTTGGACTCAGGTTGCACTCTCCAGTCTCCATGGCTATCATCATCTACTTATTTACTTTTGCTAATTAGAGATAAAATTACTGAATTTCCCTTGACGTTTTTTGAGTTCTATTTGTAACTCTGGCTAGGCATAACTAATATCTTTATATTGGTCAAATACAGTGACAACATCCTGAATTCAACATAATCTTTTTCATTTAAACATCTTATCTTTGAGTTATACCTATTGAACGCCTCATGTTTATAATTTTTTTATTTTATATTTATCCAAGATTTTCAGAAAGTCAAACAAATTCAACGCATACATATATAATCATCTTTCAAAGGTCAGAATCGTATTTAGAGGGTGTTTGGCTAAGCTTATAAGCTGGTCAAACTGGCTTATAAGCACTTTTTGGCTTATCTACGCGTTTGGTAAAATTAAAAGTGTTTATAAGTTAAGTGCTTATAAGCCAAAATAAGCCAAAAGTCATAAGTTGGTCTCCCCCAACTTATCAAATTTCAGATTATAAGCACTTTAAGTTTGACCAAAATATTTACTATTATATCCCTAAAATACTTCTTTTTAAAACAAAACTCTTCGTATACCCAGTTCTTCAGCTGCATATTATTAATTTCAGAACTTTTATCCAAACACGTAACTGCTTACTTTTTAAATCAATTTCAGCACTTAAAAGTGCTTTTCAGCACCTAATGCTTATCAGTTACTCTAAATCAGCTAAGCCAAACGGGCTCTTATTCTAACCTCTTTATTTCTATTCATAACATTATAACTTGTTTTCTCCTGCTAATAATGGACATTTCATGTGCGCCAACACTTGGGCCCCGTTTTGCCATAAAAGAAAATTACTTTTTTTTTTTTGAAATATTTTTACTTTTTTTTGTATCAATGTTGGGCCGTGAAAATTTTAAATTTGACATGAAGTTAAATTTTGAAAAACTCCAAAAAACTATTTTCTAAATTTTCACTTCAAATTACTCATAAAAAATTAAAAACAACTTCAAATTATATTTATATCCAAATACAACTCTAATATTTGAATACACCATTTTCATTTGAAAACATTTCACTTTTTCGGAATTTCACAATTCTTATGTTCAGACGCCCACTTAGCATAGAACTTGTATAGGGCAAAGAGAGAGATAATTCACCCATGTAAAGTCCAAAAATACAAATGAAATAATCGGCTTATTTGTTGTCTCTTCTGAAGTTTCATTGTCATAAAGCAACTAAATTTTTGAGAAGAGAGTTGACTTTGAAACTTTGCTATATGGACCTTTTCTTGTAAAGTTAAGTGCCATCTTCTTTGTATCGCCCACTTTAGAGTATTAGGGGCCTATTTTCCCTCTCTATACTTGGTTAGAGGAACACTTTGCACGTATAACTTATGGACTATATTCATTCTGCGGCAAATTAATATTAAATACCCTTTTGTTATTTTATATTATGTAGGAATGAGACCTAATTATAAAACGTGACCACTTGAGGTTTGAGGTTGCCGATTAATTAGCACTTGAGGTTTGAGGTTGACTCTTGTATAAGTACCTTAAATTGTATGATTTTAAATTTGCTTAACTACTCTGACTAGGGTGTCTTGATGAATCCAATCCTGAGTGAGTTATGTGCCATGTGTGTGTAAGGTTTTGTGATATTCTGTGCATTGCATTTGATGCCTAGAACTTGCCCCGTGTGTTTGTAAAGCGAAATAGTAGTTTTATTCAGTCTAGGAAGTGATATAGGCATTTCTTTGTTGAGCCAGATATGTATATTTTACCCGCCTAATTGTTATGTATCGTAGTTAACCCCTTCGAGCCTGTAATCCTGTTTCTTGGCAACCACATTACAAGCCTTACCCATTTGTTCGAATTAACCATCTATTTGAACCATTGAAACCTCTCATGAGCACTTGAATTGTTTATGAACTGTGTAAAAGTTAAAGTGTGGGGTGGTTGGTTTGGCTTTTGAGTGGAACTAATGAAATAAGGAGAAAGGTGCACTGTTTTGAACAAGTAAGAGCCACTTGAATTAAGAAAAAAAGGAAAAAGATGTTGTATTGTTGTGAAAAAAAAATTCCTTGATAAGTGGTGGCTCTTGACGTAAGTGTGCTTAAAGAAGTATGGGGTAATATAAATTGATGTGAAGGTGGAATTTTGGTTTGACATAAGTATGGGGTTTAAATGTTAAAATGTATGTATTAAAGTGCTTAGGGAGGTATAGTCACTCTTATATCTAAATGTATCCTACCCGTCCCGTAGCCTACATTACAAACAAATAAAGTCCTAATTGATCCAAGATTGAATGAGCTCGATTAGTGGAGTAGTACACTACGGG